GATCAGGGAGGCGGAGGATTACTGCATCTTCATGTTGTGCGAGCTCGCGATGTCCCCCTTCTCCCTGCGCATCGATTGCCAGGGCACGGTCGATTGCGTAGCTGCTGGTCCTGGCACGGGTGCGAGCTCCGGTGACTTACGGCCGCGCTTGTGGGGGCGCATCTGGGCGAGTTTCTCGGCTGACGACATCAGCGACGTTCGCGAGGTAAAGGCGCGCGCCACGGCCTCCGACGTGGATGCCGGACGGATCTCGCCAGCGGACAGGAAGGCCAACCTGCGCGCCGACGTTCTCGCGAAGGAGGGTGCCGAGCTCCACGGTCTCAGCGAGGGCGACGCGGTGTGGGCTTCGCGTCATTGCGGAGGAGGCTGGGCGCTGGAGCGGCCAGGCGCACGCAGCGGCCGCAGATGCGCCGGCGCCCGACGCGGGCCACAGCGTCCTGGAGGTGCCAGGGAGCCACGGCGCGGCGCAGGCCACTGAGCTGGAAGCAGCTTCTGAGCCACCGCCCCCTGCAGGCCCCAGCGCCGCGCACGGGCCTGCCGCTGCCGTTCTAGAGCTCGATTGGCCACGTGATTGGAGCAGTTATGATAGCTGTGCACTTCGAGTCGCAGGGCACCGGGTGGTCAAAACGACCGTCAAGCAAGCGCCCGAACGCGTTCTTTTGTTTTAAATGTGGAGGGTGCCTCACAGGGGCCAGCCCAGGGAAAGTCCTGCGGGGGCCGTGCCTGGGAGCACGCGCTGGCCACGGAGCCCGGGAGCAGCTCCGACGGGTGACCAAACGTGAATACCCTCACTACAGGGCAAACCGCAAACATAAGACGCTCGAGGTGCCCATCGCGCCCTCGCGCGAAGACGGCGTTTGTCTCGCGGCGCTCCTTGGGGGCCAAGGGCAAGCCGGACACCGAATCGTCCGCGGGGCCGCGGAGGCAGAGGCCGCCCGCGGCCACAGTGCCAGCGGGCGCAACCTCCCGCGCCAACCGCCCACTCGAGACTACATTCTGTCTTGTTTCGGGCTTCGTCGGGAGGACGAAGACTGGGTTGCCGCGCTTGGGGCGCGCCGGCGCGAGGAGGGGATTTCTCCGCCGTCGGGTCTTATGATTCAGGCTCTGCAGATGGAGCTGTTTGAGGCATCTGGTTTGTTTCAATTATTCTCTGGCCTTGGTCGGCCCCGCCGAGGCGCGCTCGCATCCTCCTCCTCCTCCCCCTCCTCCTCCTTCTCCTCCTCCTCCTCTCCCTCCCCCTCCTCCCCCCCCCCTCCCCCCTCCCCTCCGCAAACCCATCCCCCGCCCACTCCTCTTCTTCCTCCAACCTCCCTAATCTCGCCTCTTCCTCCTCCTCCCCCTCGCATTCCTCCCCCCATATTCTCCTCCTCCTCCCTCCTCCTCGTCCTCGCTCCTCCTCCTCCGCCTCCCTCCTCCCCATTCTCCTCCTCCTCCTCTTCCTCCCCCCCTCCTCCTTCCCCCCCCCCTCCGCCCGCCCCCCCCCCCCCCCCCCCCTCCGCAAGCCCCCCCCCCCACTACCTCTCTTCTTTCCTCAACTCCTCATCCTCGTCTCTCCCCCCACCTCCCCTTCATATTCCTCCACCCATCTCCTCCGCCTCCTCCCTCCTCTTTCTCCTCTCTCCCCTCCTCCTTCTCCTCCTCCTCCTCCTCCTCCACCTCCTCCCTCCTCCTCCTCCTCCTCCTACCCCTCCTCCCCCCCCCCCCCTCCCCCTCCCCCCTCCCCTCCGCAAACCCCTCCCCCCACTCCTCTTCTTCCTCCACCTCCTCATCCTCGTTCTCTTCCCCCTCCTCCCCCTCGCATCCCTCTCCCCATATTCCCCCCCCTCGTCCTCGACGCTGCCCTGCGCGACGATGGGTCTCGCCGCGCACCTTTGAGCTGGATGGGTGGCGCTTCCCCTTTGATGCGGGGCCATTAGCACTTGCGCCACCGCCCGCTCACGCTCGCCCCGCGGGTGAACACGCGGGAAAAGGTAAAGCCAAACGAGCTAGGCGATGTGGAGAGAATCAATCTCGCCCGCGCGGACCTGATCGCCAGTCTTGAACGGCTGGCGGAGCAGGTGCCACGTCTTATTGAGACTGCATCGTGCAGGCGCGCGCGCCAGGTTCGCCAACGCGCGCGCGCCGCGGGGGGAAGTCGCAGGGGGGCCATTGCACTGCTCAGACAGCTTGGCAGAGACTTTGCGACCTCCGAGCCCGCAGACTGCGCGCACAACGCACCAGGTGCCCTCCTGGAGCTGAAAGGGATGCACGGGGTGCCTGCGCCCATCTGCTGCAACAACACGCGCATGCGCAGCATCAGCACGCAGGAGGGGGCGAGGGGTGGAGACGGGCGGGGGCGGTTCAACCACGAGCATGGGATGACAGGAAGACTGACCAGACCGCTTCTGTTCAGGCTTAGCATGCCCACAGTCAAAATCGGCAAAACTCGCCCCTACATGGGCCACCCATCTGGCGTAGTGAGTCAACGCCTTAGCTCTGGCAGTGACCTGCTCACGCAAACTCTGATTCATCTGAGCGCGCGAAGCAGACCACTGGGCCCACGAGTCGGCTTCTTCATTTCCAGCCTTTTTCAAACGCACTGCTGAGACCGAGCTGCACACGTGCATGCGTGCAGTGTCCCTTCACCTTGACAAGACAGATCTGAGAGGGGCCACCCCAGTCGTGAATCTTTGTCCACACCGCGCGCCACAGCTCGGACCATGCGCCGCGGGAGCCACAACACTCTCGCTCTCCACGCTTGTGCGCGCCGTCATGCGCGAAGGCTGAGTCAGTGTGCAGCATGGATCCTGGGGGCGCATGCTGCAGCCCGCGATAAAACGCAAAAAGCTCAGCATAGTCGATGTCTTGGCACAACTCGTGCAACGTACCACGCACAACAGAGAGCACACGAAAGGTGTCGGGACACAAAGCGACGGCGGCCCACCCCACCGCCTGCGCGCGGGGGGGGGGGGGCTTCTGGTCGACCCGCGACCCGTCGAGGAACACGTGTTCTGATAGGGCCTCGGGCCCTCCTGCGAACCACCTATCTGGGACGGGACGGGTGGCAGGGGGGGGGCAAGCGGCAGCGGCAGCCTCTCAGCGAAGAGAAGGGGGAGAGGTTGAGTGGCAGCGCGCAACGAGGGTGGTGAGAAAGGACGGAATACGAACTCCTTCCATGATCTCCTCGTGCAAGCCACGCGCTGCATGCCTGTGCAGCAGAGCTCCTGGGGCTGACCCGCAACGTAGACAGAAGACATTGGTCGAGAGCCCAGCCTCCCATTGGCGACGCTGCGGCCACTGGCCTCCTGAAATCACACTCTTGAGATGCCCGCGCTCAACAGGCAAGAGGGGGCGAAGGCTTCCGAGCGGGGTGAGGTCGCGCCCATTTTGCCCAATCTATTGGCGACCTTACCCCAAAGCCAAAAATCAATCATCCTCTGAAGCCAGATCACAAAAGGTCCTGGGACCGACGTCCCTGGCCGAGATGCGTCCCAAGACCGAGTGAGCCAAAACAAAACCGTCGACCTGGGGCCCCAGACGGATGGCAGTGGCCGCGCAGGCCGTGAAATGACCCTCGGTGCCAGCCCAGGGGTCCCCGTGGTCGGAGAAGCGATGGACAGCATCTTTTATTCCTTGCTCGAGCATGCGCAAAGGAAGCAAGCCATCCCAGACGGCCACCGCAAACATATGCAGAGGCTCAATCTTTAATTTGCACGCAGGGTCGCATCGGGGTGCTTCAGACATCATAAGAAGCAACGTGAGACTGCGACCCGACAGCTTGGCGACCTGCACATGTGCCTGCGTAGCTCTGGCAAAACGTAACTCTGTGCAATTCGTGCCGTACACAGCGCCCCCATGCTTACAGGAGGCCAGGGGGGCAGCTTGCACCATGTTGTGCAGCCAGCGCTTTTTAACATGCGGTCCGAGCGAGACGATCTTGCGGGCCCGAGCGTGTGCGGGTGCCCTGCGAGCGGCTCGCGTGGCACGAAAGCGGCAGACGGCAGCGGCAAAATCGATGCCAAGGTTGCGCTCTGTTTGAGCGCCCTGAACATTAAACCTACGGGGCCTTCGGGCGAGCTGAGCCCTGATATGAGTCGACGACGCAACGACCCGACTCTTACGACGGTGCACGACCAAATGAACCTTCTCAAGCCCAGCATGCAGCATGGTGGCGTGGTGGTGGCCCCTGCTAGGTCTTCCACCACATCCTGCGGACGCCCTACTCTGCGGGCTCCAAAGTCGCCCACCACGACCCCCAGACTGACGTGCTGATAGGCCGCCACAACCTTATCAGCGGGGCCGAGGAGGATGAGTTGCAACATCAAAGTGGCGAAGTGACAGCCAGGCAAAGAGGCCTGGTGGGCCTCTAGAGGCCGAGAAACCACGTCCCCCAGCGACAAGATCCGCGGGGCTCTGTATAGCTCGACTAGAAGCTTCAGCTGGCGGAGCGGAAACCCTGACCTACTCGCAGCGAGCACTAGCTCGCTATGACGAACGCATCCGAAAGCCTTCTGCAAGTCTAGCAGGAGGAGCCCAGTAGAGAAGCCTCGTGAGGCCGCCCACTCTGAGCTGGCGGCCTGGACCCAGACGAGCTTGTCACTGCTGCGCCCAGACGTGGACCAAAAATATGGACGATGATTGCGAGCTTGCCATTGCTTGATAAGTGGGCGCCGCAGGCGCCCCTGAATACGGGCAAGAATGTGAATGAGCGCAATGGGCCGAAATCCACCCTCACGTTTGCTGAGAAAAACCACCTTGGTCCAGAGACGCGGCCAGGAGCAGGAAGATTCGACCTCTCCTAAAAGATCGATCAAGGCCATCAAGGCCCCGTCGGAGAGGTGCAAAAGCTGTCGAGGGGAAAGTGCATCGACACCGCACCCTGACCTCTTGGGAAACGTGCGAACGCACGCTCTAAACTCCTCGAGACTAGGTAGCGAACGTACGGGGCCAAGGTCCGCAGGCCAGGCGATGGAATCCGGCAGAACCCCCACCTTCCACCACCCAGCCCACTCAGCCCCAAGCAAATCCATCTCCTCGGCCATAGTAGCGGGACGCGAGGCGCCTTGCGCCTGCACCAAGGAACTGGGGGCCCAAGGCTGGGCAGGCTTGGCATATGAAAAAAGGGCGGCTCCACCGTCACGGCTGCGAGTGGAGCACCATTCTCTCCAACCGCGGAGCTTGTCAGTTTCAGCTTGCTCCAAGGCCTTGCTAGCTTGTAGGGCGGCAGCCTTCGAAGCCAGCTCAGCGAGTTCATGCGGGAGTTCGCGCGCCAGGGACAACAGCGTGAGCCAGGGCTCAGCCTCTGACTGAGGAACTCTGCTGACCTGGGACATGGGCTCGAGGCGCCTCGCAAGGCGCAAAGAGCAAGCACGTAAGGGGACAGGCTGAGCATACCCCAATCCAGAGAGGCACCTGGCCAGGAGACGCCACCACGTGGCAACAGGCGAGATCCTGGGAAAGCGCACGGGCAGCGGCTTCGGCGGTGCCTTCA